AGCTTAATACTGCTATGTTTCATGTGGTGAGTGTAGAGATCCGGAGAACATTTTTACTGGAAACGAGGCATTCGATCCTAGTCCTCAGAGGTGACTAAGCATCTGAATTTTGATTCTAAATCGAGGATAAATAAAGATGTCTATGGGCCACAGCATCCACTAACCATCAGGTGGACTGTCTGTTCGATTGTCACCCTAATTCTATATAAAAAAATGGTTAGTAAAGCACTACAGAGTAGCGAAAAGCAAAATAGAAAATTACTTTATCACAAAAACAATGTTTATTTGCCTATATGTAACGATCTGCATAGGTACACTAGGAGAGGTTTTGGCCGTCGACGGATTGTCGCTCCTGTTTTGTTGCTTGAATAATGGTTTGAAGTAGATTTTGATTCGTAAAAGTGATGCGATTTTGTGATTTGTCTGCGCGTGTGAACTATTAGAGAAAACGGCGACACAAACTGTGACGCATCAGCATATTGTAATGAAAAAAATATATAAAAACGAAGATTACGAAAGAAATGATAGGCTCAGAAAGGCTAGAATCCAAAGCCGTAAAGCCAATTAAATAAAAAAATTGGAACACTAGTACATTATATTATATATTAGTCTATGGTCTATGTAGATAATCTTAAAAATTAAAACTGGTTATAACTTTTATCTCCCAAGTTCTAAAAATCTAAGAATTTAAAAGGGGTTTGTCTATCCTACTAACTACTAATTAAAACCAAAAATATCCCAAAACACGAAATTTTATTAGCGGTACGAAACTCCCATAAAAGCCTGGCATTCCCCTTTAAAGAAAAAATCTACCTCTAAGGGTGCTTTGCTATGGATGCTTTTAATGTAACTAGACAACATTCTAGTTGTTACTTTGTGGTTCTGATATTACTTAGTCCTCTCAAAAGGATCAAATTAAACTATAAATAAAGTTAAAACCAATTTCAAAAAACTAAAAATAAAATAAAATAATTAACATATTATTTATTACCTCCTGAAATTGTGCTATGATTAAATATACAAAAATGATTAGTCTGAACTTTAAAAGCTATTTTTTCTTATTTTTAGTTTTATCAAGTTATTTCTTTAGTATTTTATAAAAGTTTAATTATCAACTTACTTTAGTTAACTAAGAGCCAACTTTAAATCCTTTAATTAATTTATCAAATTTACAAGGGATAAAATGAAATATTAACTAATTAAAAATAACAGTTTTATGAATAAAATAGTTTTGTTGTTTCTTTAATATTCGGTCAGGTTATAATTTATTTGAAAGATAATCTTTATTTAACAATTGGTGGTTGTGACTCATTAGTCACTACAGAGAATTTTATAAAAGTTTAAATATAAATTATAACTTCTAAATGAAAGCAGAATTTATGTCTAAAAACAAACTTGTATATAAACACAAAATCATAATGAAGTATCCTTGTTTAAAATGTGATTACCTTTAGAGATTCACATTTACAATTAATTTTTTAACCAAGTGTGTGTGCATAATATGACTTCTAATTTACCAAAGAAATTATATCAAATTAGAATCTTTCATCAAAAACAGTGTCTAAGATAGTCTTCAGAGGCTTTCTAAGCTAAGATCTCAATATTTCTCCATGGCCATTATTGTACATATTAAAAAAAATATTCAAAGGTTTATATTAGCCCAGTGGTTTACCACAAAAAAAAAAAAAAAAAAAAAAAAAACGATTTCCTACCAATGTAAACATCAATAGAAAAAAAAAACAGTGAGATCTAAGTAAAGAATTTAATGGAAGCATCAAAAAATCTTTCCTCATTTTATTCCACTTCTATGTGCACATTTACAATAAGAATTAAAAATTGAAGTTACAGCCTAAATAAATCCTGCTTTTCTCAAAAGCCTTCCTTAATTTCTGAGATGGTTTCTTTGGATGTTCAACAATAAGAGACATTAAAAACACTCTTGTTACCAAGTGGTGGATATAAAGACTAATATCTTGTTATCTTTAAAATATTATGTTTAATGAGATTTATATAAATAATTTAAAATGGTAAGTATGTCAAAAAATTGACTAACCTCTTCCATGATAGGACTACTAACAACTCCAGGTGTAGATGAGACATCACTAATTGTTGACTTTTCCAAGCTTTCATGAGTACCATTTACCTCTGGATCAAGGCTAACTTCCTGCAATATGTATTTAAGAATTGATTTCTATTTCATATTTATTATGATTTATCATACAGTTTAATGCTGCTTATAGTAACTATAATGTGTGAAGAATCATGTGTATATCAACCATCATATAGAATTACTAAGTTTCATATATGTTCATTTGAACTTATTAAACACGTAATTATTTAAGTACATTGAAAACTAGAAATTTCTTCAAGGTGATCTTTAACCACAGTAACACCTCTTACATTGTTATCATCACTAAAACATGATTAAAGAACAAAAGTTTCACTGTTGTAATTACCACACTTGTAAAATATATATTATGAAGCCGGACAATGAAGACTTGGATAAATATAAGATAAAATAACACTAAACAAAAAGGGGCGTCAACTAATCCTGATGAACGCTGCTTGGCGGGTTTAGGGCGTATACGAGAGTAATATAAAAAGATTCCAATATGATACCTGACCTGAACCGCTGAAGCAAAAAGATCGTCGTCATCCCTGTTTTCATTGTTGATATCTACAGTGTTAAAAAGCGGTGCGTCGGTCCCTTCGGACATGTTTTATCTAATTTTATCGCTGAGCGGACTTGTAAATGTTAGGACGAAACGATGTTTTTAAATCTATGCTCTGAAATGAGAAGATAGTTTTAGTGATAATGATGCGTTGCGTTGAGTTGATGTCATGACAGTGACAGTGACACTTTTGCAACAATGACAGTGACAGTTCTTGTCGTTACAATTTGCCAAGGAAGGCAGGAAAAGGTCATAGACCATAGGCGAATGCTACACGCGTGATATTTATCACGATCCTTGGATCGCGATCCAGGAAATCGTGATATTTATTGAACGTGTAGTAGTATCAAGTATTGATGGATCGCGATACGGATCACAGAATTTCTAGATTTCCGAAAATCCGTATCGCGATTCAAGGATCGTGATAAATATCGCGCGTGTAGTGTTGCTGCGATACGGATACGGATCGCGTCAGTCTGCTCTGGAGAAGCGATGGAGGAGGACGACTTTTGTAGTGATGTGGGCGAAATCGCAAACGAAAGCGAGAATCCTGTTTCGACGGGACCATCTACAATCCATCAAAAATACGACCATACAATGCGACAAATCGTATGATGGTTTTAAAAACAATTGTAAGCGCATAAAGGCACTTAAGAAGTTACTACCAATTTAAAAAAAAAATGACGCTTCAATGGAAGATGTTAGAAAAAAATCGTTAAAATGGACACTCTCCTTTTTAATATAATTGCCATAATGATAGACATAAAAGCTTTAAGCAAACGTTTTTATGTAGTAGAGCCATGCTGCAGTTATATTAATAGTATAGTTGTAGCACGAATGGGTCGGCTCGACCGGGAAAGGACTACGCTCTCACAGAATACCAGCGTTAAATTGTAGCTTAATACTGCTGTGTTTCGTATCACAGCATCTACTTACTATCAGTTGCTCATTTGTCACATTTATTATAACTCGGCTTAGCAAGGCTCGTTTGTCACCCTATCCTATAAAAAACAGCTTTTTCTACATTTCGGTCCATTTTAGATATGTCTGTACTGAACAGTTTTGTGCCCAATACTGACGTGATCCGTAATGAACGTGTAGGGTGTGTCGATATAGATCGCGATACGTCATTCCAGATCGCGTCCCAGATCGTGATAAATATCACGCGTGTAGCGTTCGCCGTAGAGCGTAGTCTGATGATATATTTTTTAATAACATTATATAGTTATTCACTATCGTTGTAATAATCCTCCGATCGACCATGTCAGAGTATGTTTAATTCATCATGTTCAATATGTGTTCATCTTTTTTATTTAAATATAAAAATTGAAATGTACTTCTTTATTTCCACGGCACAGCGGGCTATTTCACTTACAAATATGTAAAGTAGCTTTTTATATGTTCATTATTTAGTTTCTAAATAGTTGTTTGTTGTTGTTGCTGGTCCAAAAGATTAATAGAATAACACATGCATTTTACATCATTTTATATTACCAGTCGAAAGAGATTGTTTGTGAAATTATATAGCTTTCGTAGTAACCGTTTCATTTAATACTAAAGCTGCTACTATTATGTATACAACTAAGTATAAGTACAATTTTACGCAATAGGCAAGTCTAGAAACATTTTTTAGTTTTAATTTAGCTGTCTGTAATGCCACTCCAAGACCAAATAAGGTATCCGTGAGATGAAAGATCGTCGATTCTCATGTCATGATCTTTTTTTAAATATTTCACAAGGTTCAACTAAAGAACATTTATTGAGACAAGAATTCTTCGGATAACATCCTCCTGAGAATCATGAATGGACAGCCTACTAGTACTTTACTTACATGAAAGCACTTTTTATTATAGTTTGTGCATTCGTTCATGTTGTCGTTCGTAGTTCATTGCAGAATATGTCAATAAAATATTTAGTGAATTCTATAGAAAGAAAGATAGAGTCTACAGTCTGATTAAGCTGTCGTCAAAAACTTCACAATGTGATGCATTAGTTTATTGTTAATAATTTGGTAAATAAAATAGGAATTGCACTGGGCTGTATGGTATAAGACATTTGCCTGCTTTAATACTTCGTAATACCAATTACAAACGTTTGTCAAATCTCAAAATCAAAATAAACAAATACGTGTCCATATACATAATAAATACATATATTTCTTTTTTTTAAATATAATAAACGGTATTACAAAAATTGTTTTATCAAAGCTAATATGTACATGCTTGACTTTTTGTTTAATTTTACTTAATATTTTATAGCTCCTTTTATTTTTTTTCTTATTGTTTTCGTATTAGGTTATTATTTAATTATTTCCCTTGATTGTTGAAGATGAATACCTCGGATAAAAAGAGGCAGATACCGATGGCGCCAATGCCTGCAGCAGGTGTCCCAGGCAATCTGTTATCAAGTGTTGCACCACCTACAGAGCTACCTAACTTCATTACTGCATCGTCGGTTGCTGCTGTCACCCCTGTTGATGTGGTTACTACTATAAAATAAATATATTTGTGATATAATATTTAAGCGGCCATTTCACTAACAATTCTGGGTTAAATTTTAGTATGATATATATGAATCAAACATAACTACTGTTATTTAAAGGTATTTGTCTTTATTATTCAGGTTAAACATTATTATATTTATATTTAGGATGAATTGTTCATGTTTATGATCTACTTTAGGGTAAATTAGTTTCGAAATTATAAATTGTAAACGCAGTTAGTGATCATAGTAGTAATACTAGTGGTAAGATTTCTTTTTTTTTATAGGATGATTTATGATTCTTTTTAACTTCAAAACTCAACTTCAAAAAAGGAGAAGGTTCTCAATTCATCGAAATCTTTTTTTTAATGTGTTCGCCAATTACTCAAAGACTCCTGAAACAAATTGGGAAATTCTTTTCTTGTTTCAAAGGGTTTCCCGTTTAAATTTTATAGAAATTGGTTTAGTGGTTTTTAAAAAATCAACAACAAATTATTTATATTGAAGTTGGTTGTACAAAATTTTTATTTTTACCACTTGTTGCCTAGAAGATTGTTTAGGGTGGATCTATTTTATCCTTTTTTGTCACTAAGCAATAGTACTTTACTGATGTCTGAATGATAGGTATGTAGAGCTAGCGTAAATATAGGTTGTAGGGCATTTAATGTTAGTTTTCATTTGCAGCCAACTTGGCTTAAAATTGGTTGCAGGTGTCAATCAGTAGCTACTTAGCAACAGGTAGGCCCGTAACTCGTTAGTTACTAAAGTTAAATTAAAGTTACAGGTTTTATAAATCCCACTCTGGCCGCTTTTCATTTCTGAAAGGGTTTAAAGACAAGGAAGTGTCCACCGTTCTGCCTACTGCGTGTTGGTGGATGTCTTCAAAATATTTTGCTCTCTCAGGCATGTAGGTTTCCTCATGATGTTTTCCTTCACCACTGGGCATGTGATAAATTAGCACATAAAATTGCAGTTGTAGTATTTAAAATGTTAGTATGTTTATAATAATATTAGTTATTAATTAAAATTAAGAAAAAAAATAATAATCTTAATCAGTGGTAACCGTGGTTATATATGGCTATGAAATCTGGACATTGAACGTCTCAGTCGGGGGAGCACCTTACACTTTACTTTTCAACCACTTTACAGCACCCATGGTCACGGGGGTGTGACCATGGGTGCTGTAAAGTGCTCGAAACATCGGGTATATAAAAAGTTAATATACGCGATTAATTCTGTAAAAAATAGCATTATTTAAATATGTAGTGAGTAAATATAAGAAATCATTATGAAATAAATATATTACTAAACAAATGACCTGCATATCAACTTCAATTTGTTATGCTTGTGATCAAATAATCATATATTCTGATAAGTAAAATATAAAGGAATTAATTTGAAATGCTATGCGCCTCCCCTTTTTTCTCCATCTTTATTCTGCTCTAAGGGATGCCCTTCTCTCTATGCCCTTCTCTCGTGCCGCTTACCTATCATGTCTTCATCATCTTAATAGAAACTCCTTAATATGCTCTGACCTCATCTGAGCCAGGTCTTAAGTAAATTTTAAAAATTTTAAATTTTAAAAAGCGCTTAATACTAACTCAATTATTAAGTTGGCAAAGAAACTAGATCAGATGTTATACAAGCTTAATTTTACTAATTATCAAACCTGCTGTATGATGTTGGTGAGTTATAGTTTATGTATTAACATTTTCATATTGCAGAAAACAAATGTGGCCATAACAGTCTCACAACCTGTACCACCTACAGTTCTTAACAGTCATGCTGCTACAGATTTATTACCAGAAAAACAGGAAACATTTAGGTAAATTTAGTGCATGTGTAATAGTCGCTCCATCACAAATTTTTGTACTTATCACAATTTGAATTCATAATGGTATATTTCTGCACAAGAATTTAATTCAGAAATATTTCATTGGTATGTTTGACTCAATTTGACGACTCCGTAGGCGCAGTGGCTTAGCAATGAGTAGCTGCGCTGGGGGTCGCGGGTTCATACGCCTACATATAGTTGTTCCGGGTCTGGATGTTTGTCCTTGTGCAATTTATGTTTGTAAACTGCCCCCGCGATACAAGAGAAAATCTTAGTGCAGGGGTAACGTTTTTAAAAAAAAAATGTAAATATAAAGTTGAATGATACTTTTGTTTATAGAATTTATAGAGCTTGTAGAACTTGTCCAGAGATAGAACACGTAAGTGTTGAATAAGATTTGTGGTCACTGATGTAATGCTGGTGACAATTACTGTAGTAATTACTTCTTCGATGAGCTCACATGGACAAAACTACATAGCATCTATAACTTAACGATAACAATGAGGCAAGTGACCTAGTCGATTCTTAACACTGGCTAAAATATTAGCTAGTTACTTGTAATTTTTGTTTAATTACCAGATTTGTAATGCATTTGTATCTTCTAAATCTTTGATTTTTTTTTTAATAATGATATTAACTTAGCATTATTATGTCTCTGTCTCAAACCAAATCTCTATTGTAGTCCAGCAATACCACCTAATAAAGGGGAGCCGATGCTTCCTATAAGATCTCCAGAGGATTCGCAGGCCACACAGTCTCCAGAATCATTGCCCGAGTCAACCCCAGATTTGGATAAGATTGGTATGGAAATAATCAGAATTATTTCAGAGGCATTTATGAAAATATTTTTTATATATTAATGTATCACAAATTATCGCAGTGTAGAGGCGGCTTAATAATATCCAATACTCCATTTCATCCCGTGGATGTCACCGGAGTCAACTTTTTGATAACAACTCGAAATAACAAAAAAAAGCTGCCGTTGCTAACTTGCCTGCCTATTGTGGCTACTATAAAAAATATCACCCGTATGATGCAATATAAGGGGAAGCTAAGTTGTGAATTTTAGAAGGAGGCTGTAGTGATTATAAATTAAAGTCCATATTTTGAAAGTAAATAATAGGATATTTAGATTTGGGCTAGTCACGAGCACGGCGGCAACTAATATTGTAATCACATACAAATTACTCTTTACTTGCAAATACAGAATAACTTGACCATCATATTCTAACTGTGTCCTATGAAATCATTTATGCGATAAGACATAGTTAACTTAGATGTAGTGACATTATGCTAGTCCCATTGATTTTGAGTTGAATAACCCATAATTATGTTGTTCAATATACACTGTAGCGTAATAAAATCAGATTTGTTATACTTTATGAATTTTAAAGTTTTTCAAACAAATTTGTTATGCCATAATATGTGTTTCAGAGTTATTATAACATATGTGTTTATTTTTTTCTTCAGCCTATTTGAATTCACTTCTTGACTTAGGCCTAGAAGTTTCTCAATAACACTGGACAGACTGATCTCTGCAGTCAACACAGTACATTCTCTCGCACTGATAATGTTACTTCGCATTACCAGTCTGTTAGAGGCCGAAGCGTTATCCGCTAGTAACCAGGTTATACCGCAGGCTATTGAGGTTGATACCTGGGAGAAAAACTTTATTTTTTAGCTGCTCGTAAAAGTTCATTGCTGGATATGGGTTTATCCTATTCGACCCTTCTTTCCGTCGCAGGTTTATGTCTGGACTAACCTACCTGGACGACCGGGCTTTGCTCGGTATTTTATTTTGAAATCGTGTGCTTTGGAAATTACATTTAGATACAAATTACATACTGATGAAATATGAATAATATTTTTGGATCTTACCGACATAATAGAAAAAACTGAACTGGTTATTTGAATAAAAAATCATGAGTGCAATTAGTTTATTTTAAATTTTCATGTTTTAAAAAAATATTAAAAGGCTCGAAATAATAAATTTTCTCATAAAAGAAGGGAACTTGAAAAAAAGTCGGATCTTAGACAGAACTCGGATCAGGGTACTACGATCGTAGTAATTTATTAATTATTATTATTTATATTAATTAAATAATTTGAGCTATTATAATCCTTAATGCGTTTCCAAAATTTACCTTCTTATTCTAACGACATTGTAGCAGTTTTTCATTGCCTGAAAACACGGATAAAACGACATTTTCTAAAAATGAATCCTAGCTAGATCGATTTATTGCCCCCGAAACCCCCTGGACACTAAAATTTATGATAATCGTTGGAGCCGTTTCCGAGATTCCGTATATATATATATATATATACAAGAATTGCTCGTTTAAAGGTATTAGATAGATGATTATACTGCCAAATGGCATTCGGTAAATACCGAAGACGTGATATCCTTCTGGTATTTCTCGTAGTCGCCTCTCATGACGACCAAAGAACGAAATGGGATAATGGGTTCTCTTATCACGGAAATTTTTCATAATTATTTTAATAAATAATTAAATTGTCATAGTTATAACATTTATCTTCAGAATCACAGCCTATAATAGTGCATTGTTGAACATAGGCCTCCCTCATAAATTGCCTCATTTTGCCATAGTTGCAGCGCTTGGCAGGTGGATTGGCGACTGCAGTTTCTTAATTATTATTTATGAGTTGTTATTACAGATATGCTACTCCCCATCCCCTGTTTCATATCTCTCTGTCGCCCATTGCAACACCCAAGGGATGATACGTGGTTGTGAATATTCTTATTCCACATCTATTCCACATTCACACAGTACTTATTATCCTATAAACATATTTCAGGTGACATTATGCCAGGCAGCGGCCTTATTACATGGATGAAGGGCGCAGTCTCCACAGGCGGTATCTTACAACGGGTAGCGGAGAAAGCGAAGAATTCCGTTGACTCTATGATCACCACGCTTGATCCTCAAATGAAAGAGTACTTAAGTATGTTTTAGAGCTTTATTATTTGACCATTAAAAGTAAAAAATTGTTTTCTTTCGAAATGCAGTTGGATATACTTATAGGCGATTTATACAGGATGGGGGGCATCCATCTTAGTCCTCAGAGGCGACAACGCATTTACGTACTAGAGCCATTATGTTTGTAGCACGAATCGGCCGACTTGATCGAGGCAGGATCACACTCTCACAGAATACTAGCATTAAATAGCAGCTTGATGCTGCTATGTTTCATATGGTGAGTGTAAAGAACCGGAAACCCTTTTTACTGGAAACGAGGCGTTCCATCTCAGTCTTCAGGATAAATGTAGACATCTATAGGCCACAGCATCCACTTACCATCAAGTGGACTCGTTTGTTTTATCCTTATACTATTAAAAAAATTGTTGCCTTCAGTTGAGTTATATAAAAAAAAATATGGGAGATCAAGGATACGGAAACAATGGAATTCAAAGCCTCGCGACATTAGTCACAGTCACACAACACTGTCTACAAAGACAACGCCGTCACATTGTGGTGACAATACTGGTGTTAGTGTAAACACCGTTATCCTTGAAACCAGTAGTTTGGTTTCACTTATAGAACGTAAATTCAATGAAAAATAACAACATTTTTTTTAGTAAAATCTCAATTTTTCTTTAATTCCTCAATTTTTGCCTGTCCTAAGCCAGGATGAAAGTATGAAGGAAAAGTTACATCACAGGTTACGTGTACCTATTGTGTTTTTATTGGGATGTTGTGTAGGTAGTTAGCGCGGGCGGTGATCTTTATAGTGATTACGTCACTCGGGAGCATGGGGTATCCATGAATTTACGGACAGTGTCGGATAGAAACTTTTTAAATTTTATAAAAGAAAATAGCGTTTTTTTTTAAAAATCCGGGTAAATATTTTTATATTAAAGCCAACTACCTATGGTTTTAGTGACAACGGTGTTTACACTTACACCTTGTATACATATATGTATATTTTGTACTTTTGTTTTTCAGGGAGCGGCGGCGACTTATACGTTGTTGTTGCGTCAGATAAAGAAATGAAAGTGTCACCAATCAGAGAAGCATTCCAGACAGTTTTCGGGAAAGCGACTGTGGTGTAAGTAATAAGCACACAAACATGCCCTTGAGTTTCCTTATACGGCCAGCAATGAAGGACCTAATCTTAAATCCATATGTAATTATTAGCAAAAAATAATATTATGCTATTAAGGAACAATGCAATATAAATAATATGAATAATGATGATTTTTTTTTAAATCGAGGAACAGGCAAATGATCTTATTGCTCAACTGATAGTAAGTGATTGCCGACGCCTACGAAAATTTGCAACACTGGAGGAATTATAGTGTTGCCGGCCTTTGAGGCAGGAGTAAGCTCAGTTTTGTAAATGATGATGTTGTTAGCCGATTTCGATAATCAAGCACTGTCCCAGGCATCGGTACTGGAATTATTACAACCATCTGGATCCGAAAACATTTTTTTTGGAATCAACTAAGAAACCTAGAAAGAAAGAATGAAATAGATTCGACATACATAAAATAAAATAAAGCGTGCATACTATATGGTGAGAATGCGATGTCAAAAAAGAGTCCGCCTAGGTAATAGTCGGGACCTTTGACTTAACTGAGTAAGCGACTATTAAAATTCTGATTTAAATCGTTTCCAGCGGCCATCCTGCACAGAGCGACGTGACGGCCGAACAACCAGTGGGATATGCGGCTGCTTACGCTGCGGCGAAACAACGGATCGCACATATACGCTCTACTTACGCCGAGGTCACCAACAACGTGCCTGTAGTTGCGGCAGAGAGTTTCCTTCAGGAAACTGTCAGTGACAGGTTAGACAATGAAACAAAATGGTTGGGTTTCTTAAATCGCAGATAATAGGAATTTTACCACCTTTTCTTTATTAAATTATATTGGAATAACGCCAAATTATTTGGTTCACCCTTTTTATCATTTGGCAGCTCTGGTAAGAAAGTGGTAAGAATGTTTTTAGGGGTCATGCATCTTATTTTACTAATTATTTATTAATAATATTAATTATAATACATACATAAACACTCACGCCTGTCACCCAGAGGGGTAGGCAGAGACTACAGACTTCCATTTGGCACGATCCTGACACACCTCTCTTGCCTCCTTCACATCCATACACCTACGCATACATGCTCGTCGGTTAAGGGTACTCCTAATTTGGCCCGTTTTCAATAAATCGCCAATTTGGTCGATAAATTTTCGCCTAGGACGTCCCTTTCCAACTCTGCCATTCCCTTCTGCAACATAAATTTTCTTTGCCACTCTTTCCTCATTCATTCTTTCCACATGACCAAACCACCGAAGCATTCCTTTCTTAATCCTGGTCACAACATCATCTTGCAAACCACACTCTTCTCTTATTACACAATTTCTTACCCTGTCATTCAGATTCAGCCCTAACATACTCCTTAACGACCGCATTTCTACTGCGTTTATTCTACTCTCGTGCTTCTTCTGCCACACCCAACTTTCACTACCATACGTTAAATTAGGGACCAACACAGCATTGTGAATTGCCATACGTGCCTTTTTCGACACATTTTGACTCTTCACAATAGAGTGCAGGGCCCCATTTACTCTATTTCCCGCATTCACCGTCGTTCTATATCATTATCATATCTCCCACCCCTGCTAAATACGCAGCCCAAATATACAAACTTATCTACTTGCTCGATCAACTCCCCTTCTATTCTTATTTCACAAATCGTTTTACTTTCTTCTCTTTCAAAAACCATAACCTTCGTCTTACTTGCGTTTACTTTCATACCCCTTTCTTTTAATGATCTGTTCATTAATGTAACCATCATTTGCAACTCGGCCGCCGACGACGCAAGAATAACTTGATCATCGGCGTACAAAAGGCATTTGACGGTTAACTCACCCATTCGTAATCCGCATTCTTCAACTTTCAAATTTTGCAAACAACTGTCCATAAATAGGTTGAACAGCCACGGGGAAGCCACACAGCCCTGTCTGACACCTTTATGGATGTCAAACCAGTCCGAGTAGACCCCGTTGATCCTAACACAAGCACTAGAGTCCCTATAAAGAGACTCCAATGCCTGTATCAAGCCAGCGCTCAACCCAAATGAGTTCAGTGTTTGCCATAGCAAATCCCTATCCACTCTGTCATAGGCCTTTTCCAAGTCCATGAACGCACAAAAAACCTTTTGGTTTTTGGCCAGAAACTTCTCCATGATCATGCGCATGGAAAAGACTTGATCTGTACATCCCATTCCCTTTCTAAATCCTGCTTGCACATTCCAAATTTTTCCATCAGTTTCTTTCATGACCCTTTCAATCAGTACCTTAGCATACAGTTTTCCCACAATGCTAAGAAGGCTGATACCACGGTAGTTTTTACAGTCCTGCTGCGACCCTTTTCCTTTATATACTGGGACTATCACGGCTTTGCACCGGTCTACCTGTACCCGCTTCAGTTTCCAGCATAAATTAAACAAGGTGTGCAGCAGGCCTGCCACCACTTCCTCTCCAGCCCTTAGCATTTCGAGTGAAACTCTATCATATCTGACAGCCTTACCTGCTTTCATGCTTTTCATTGCTTTCATTATTTCATCTATACTTATCTCGCTACCTCTTTCCTCTTCTTTCGGTGTTTCTACTTCACTTAGTACACACGTTGTCTCCTCACTCATAAACACGCTTTCAAAATATTTCTTCCATCTCTTTAAACTCAAAACTTCATCATTCAGAATATAGCCATTCTCGTCTCTTATAGCATTCATCATAGGCTGTTTTGAATGTCCCCTGGCAGTCTACAAGTTTCCAGAACATTTTAATATTTGCCTGGAAGTTATCGATATTCTTCTATCATTCTTATCCGTTCTTTCTTGCTTTTTTCCTTTCAACTAATTCTTTTACTCTCTTATTAAGACGTCTAAAGACTGCCTTTTTTCTTTCAATCTCACCATTCGTACCGCCAGAATTAGCAGCCTTTGTTGCTAGTAAATCTAGCCATGCTCTCTTCTTTTTGCTTCAACTTCCATACGTACCTCATCATCTCACCATAACGTATTATTTTTCCTTTCATTCTTTCTCTTACTAACACCACATACTTCGGTAGCTGCATCCACTAAACCTTTCTTTACATTTTGCCATATATTCTCCAATTCTAACTCCTTCATACATAATTCATCCAAACCACTTATATTTTCTTTCAGTCTACATTTGAACTTGTTTTTATCACTTTCATCTTGTAACCTTTCTGTTCTAATACGCTGTAACGCAGTGGTAGACACAGACGATCGATGGCGCCAACGCCTGAATAGACCATTAATTCGGCATAAAACTAAAAAATGATCCGTTCCTACGTTAGAACTCCGGTAAACTCTCGTATCTACCACTGCGCCCCTCAATCTTTCATCCACAATTATGAAATCTATCATGCTTCTATCGTCACCTCTTTCCCAAGTATACATGTGAATCCTCTTGTGGCGAAAGCAAGTGTTCGTCACAAAAAGATTCTTTTCCAAACATACGGTGAGGAGACTTTCACCATTCTCATTTATACTTTCATCACCAAACGTTCCTAATATCCTTTCATAACCAAGCCTCCTGACCCCAACCCTTCCATTAAAATCTCCTAGCATAATAATATTTTCATTTCCCTTACACTTCATTAACACCATCCTTACCATTTCCCAAAACTGCTCTCGGATATAAGTGGGCTTAGACATGTCTGGGGCGTAGACCCCTAACACAAACAACTTCTTTAAACCCACTTTCATTCGTATCCATAGCAGTCTTGGGCTTGCACATTCATACTCTTTCACACATTGGGCCCATTCTTTCTGAAAGGATGATACCTACTCCCTGGCATGCCCGCTCGATCTCGTCTACACCAGACCAGTATGCAGTATACATGCCATGTGTAGTGACATCCTTCCCCTTCCCTTTTCGTCTCATTTACGCATAACACATCTATTCCTCTATCATACATCATATCGCATACTTCATCCATTTTATCATTCATTGCCCCACATACATTCAACGTAGCCAGACGGGCCTCTGCAATCCACTTTTCGCCTCTCCGGGAGACAGAACGTAACGGGTGGCGAACCTCGTCGCCGGTTTTCCTTCCGGAGATTCTTCGCACCCCTGCCCCATTAAAGGGGCGCCGGGAACTCGGGGCCATTTCTTTAATTCGATTCCTCATGGTGCGAAATGGGGTGGTATATTTAACGCCGCTACCACGGCGTGGAGCCGAGTCTGTGGTATCGGCTTGTCGCTCATTTAGCACCACCCGGGGGACACGTGTAGGGTGGGCCTAGGAACAGGTGGTCAAAGCCTACGTACGCGAGCGACTTATCCCCCGACGGTATTAATTATAAATACTAACATTTTTACTATCGCGAAATCACATGACGCAAGCAAATCTTTTTCAAAAAAAAAATTGAATTGTCATGACTATGATGGTCTCAGACCAAAAAAGAAAGATAGATGGAGTGCTACATATATTTCAAGTACAATAATATATTATATTAGGGCTCCAAATATAAACAACAAAATATTAAATTAATACTTATAACTCTAATAAAATATTCAATAGGAATGCCAGAAAACACAGTTCTGAGTCATCTGCATCCATTAACTTGCCATGTATGTCTAACTAGGTTGTCTTTACATGTATAGAACGGAGGAGAGTAGCCATAGCGTTTTTCCCCGATATACAACTATCTGTAATTTAGGGGAGGGGGGATCTGCGCACACAAATTCAAAACAATCGTCTGTCACTACAAAACTCACACAACAATTAAAACAATAAACTAAGTGTTTCACACCCGCATAGATACATTATAAAGGTTGACTCGCGCTAGACCGAGTAGGGTCCGAGCCGATTGTCGGCCGTAGCACGGTCACCGAGCCGGTCCCGTGCCTGACGGGCCTCGACCGAGCAATTACCGCTGCGCCGTGATGCAGTATACTCGTCCGAGCAAAAATAGTGTTATAAATAGACTACAATCATTTTGAAGTTTGACGATCAAGCAAAATTACAAGGTTTTTCCTCGTTGAAATTATATGTTTTCCGTTCGTTGCATGAAATAACCTTGGTAAAAATAGTTCCTTTTCTCTACTACAATAAGCTCAAGGCAAATTTTAGATAAATTATTTATTTATTTGGTAATAATCATTCTCCCGATGCATATTTAGGCTAAAACTGTGAGAGACATGATTTGGGAGCTCTAATTTGTAGATTCTATTGAATATCGACCATCAAAAAATATTTTTTTATCTCACAAATATCCTATACTTTAATAATGATAAAATACATTTTCGTTATATGCCTTTCACGTAAGCAAAAAAATCGATATAATTTAATTATCTACCGAAAAAGCTTCGATACAAGCCCCAATATCTCTGATGTTCTACATCATTATGATTTTGAAAATTATACGAAGATAATCATCAACATTTGCTCAAACTATACTGTGATTTTTACTTTTTAAATCGTTTCTATTATTTTTCAATTAATTAAATAAAAGTACCATATATTTCACTGCGTCGGTCATCTGAATTCACCGTTCCGGCTCGTTTCGATATTATTGTAGTGTACGTCGATGACCGTGGCGCTGCTATTTTGTAGCTAGAGCATGGACAACTTCGCGCGCAGTTTTTGATCGTTGGAAGTATTTACTTTCGTTCAGTATATTTCAATTAGTATAAAGTTCGCACATTATTATTATACCAGATAGTTAACTCATTATAGTTATTTTGATTGTAGCTGAGCTTTCTTACCAGTCGAAATAGGGAAAAATAAATACAAGTATCAATATGTCACTAAACGTAAAAAAATTAATATCCTATCTCTGGAGAAATAAAAATGGGGAATATGTCTGCATGCTTGCCATATTTACTGCCATATGGACTGGCCCAGATTATGCGGTAAAAGTACTAAAAATCTACAAAGACGACAAATTTTGGATTTTGAATATGTTGCCCAAGTTACAAGCGTTTTATAAAAAGTGTATACTGCCTGAAATTATTGACTCGAGATAAGCTCTGTCAATGCCGTTGCGGCAAATATTTTTATAATAAAAAATATGGTAATTGAATGTAAGTACCGATTAAAAAAATATTAGTTACAGTTGTTTATTTTATTTATTAAAACGGGTTGCAATCCTTCTATTAATTTATTTATACCACTATGCTACCTATACTGTGAAACAAAATATTTATGTGTACTTATTTCGACACTAAGGTTCTTAAATAATGAAAAATATATAAAATAGATTATAATAAATTAGTTATCCATCCACCGAACTTCATCCTAAGAAAACTTGTATGATGGAAGATCAAGATCGTAGTTCGAGCGACTGAGTAGAGATATGAAATAAAATATCGCTCGCGTAGGTCATCGCCTGCTCGGAGCGTAAAATAACTAAATTCACGTAACGCCGAAATGTAAGAGGGCTCTTAACAGTATCGCTCGGCGACGACTACTCGGATTACTCGGATACAGACGACGATACGCTCGACCGATCTGCGAGCAGCTGTGTTGGTAAACAAATTCGAAATGATACGAACGTTATTATTGTAATTCTTAAGTTTAAAAGGAAGTAAATCGTTATCAAAATGTACTTATATTTAAAAAGTAACACCGTCTTTTGTGACTGGGGCGGTAGATCTCTTTTTGCAGCAAAAAAAACGGAGCTATTCGGCATTTTTGTAGAACATCGATTCAACAGCGCAACTGCATTTAGTCCAGGGAGCAGTGCGGCTGCAACTAGTTTTTAACTCTTGACGCAAAAAGAGGGGTATAAGTTTGACCGCCATATGCGCCTGTCTGTTTGTGTGACTGTCTGTGGCATCGCTTAAATAGGTGAACTGATTTGGGTGATGGAACTGATTTTTTATTTAAAAGCAATATTTTATAGCGGTGGTTCTTAGACGCTTTTTATCAAAATCGTTTAAGAGGTCATCAGCTCTTTTTTTGGGTTTTATAATTGAAGTTATATTGTACGTATAGAACCACGTGGGCTTATACTTTGACAGAGGGGGAACGCCTGCGTGTAGCTAGTCCTCTCCGTCCGCCGCTGGCACGGGTTGCGCTCTTATGATTGAAACATACTATAATATGTTTTATTTTTCCGCCATTTATTAATATTTACATGTATAGGATTTTTTATTCACAATGGCGGGTTGATCCTACTTATGGGTGTAGGTGCATCAAAAACAGAGGAGTGTTATAAGTTTACCGTGTGTATTTGTGTATCTGTCTGTGGCATCGTAGCGCCCTAACTGATGAACCGATTTTGATTTAGTTGTTTTTTTGGTTGGAAGGGGACTTGATCGAGAGTGTTCTCAGCTATGGTTCAAGAAAATCTCTTCAGCTGTTTGACTATTAATCAGCTCTTTTTGTTTCGAGGGCTTTTATAATTTTATAATTTAAGACATTGTGTGCGTAAGCTTGAGTGTGAAAAGTAACTCATATTATGAGTTACCCTTCATTTATGATGTGCTAACCATAGAATACTATAATACATTCGTAATAGAACGGGGGAGTGGGCGGAGCCCGTGTAGCCACTAACGTGTTAATTCACACCTATAAATGTCAATAAAATCAATCGTTTCTAATTTTCGTGTCAAGCGTCGCTGCGTGCAAATTATTTAAAAAAAAATGGTAAATTGTGCAATAATTACGTGCCGAAAGAACAGCGGGAAATGGAATTTAAATAAAGGAGACATATCCTACAACCTGTAAGTCGAAACTATTTATATTTATATTAATATAAATAGTTTCGACTTACAGGTACTTTCTATTTATATTTTGTGAATATTAGGAACAAAAATAAATAAATATTTATGTGTCAAAAACTTTAATCAAAGGTCTAAAATGTGTTTGTAGTAGTGATAACTGATAATACGACGTAATTGCTTGTATGTGTGCTCCCGTCGACGCCAATCCTCTTACAAAATAGGGTTGACAGCCATTCTATTGTGTATTATAGTATTATATGGTGCTGACGCCACCTGCTACGTTATCTTGCGTTACGTACAAAGACTCACTCGCCTACGGGAAATCATTAATTTATTTATTACAGCCTATCAAAGTCTACTGCGGAATATATCTCCCTACATTCTTTTTTCTTTCCCATGGATTGCCTCATGAGGGGGATATTTGCCACTATCGCCACGCTTGGCAGTTGTTTTGTGGAAGACGCTGTTGTCCACCTGGTTTTTTTCCCTATGTCACTTATCACGACACTCACGTGTCACATATGGTAGTGGATAGTTTTGCACCGCACTACACGGTTAAAACGTACTTCATGAGATAAAACATATAATAGCTTAGATACAACTTTCCATTACAGCCTTTAACAGTTCCCTGTTGAATAATAGGCCTCTCCATAGATTGGCTCGTAAGAAGTTCTGGCATAGTTAACACGGTTGACAGGCTTTGCAACTGCATTTTTATATTTTAAGTTATTTTAAGGAAGGTACTGCTGATCATCCTCTGTAAAGTGCTCGACGTCGGGTAAATAAAAAAGTTAATACACGCGATAAAATCCGTAAAAACTAGTATTATTTGATTCTTTCCCTCTGTCACCCCCTACGATATACATGTGATTTGTGGTAGTGAATTACACCCCTACTACACAATTAACATAGTTTTCGTGACATAAAACATCTTTAATATCCTCGAATCATTGTATTTGTTACGCTAAGACAGTGCTATTTACCATATAGGTTTTTTTTATAGGATAGGGTGACAAACGAGCACACAGTTCACCTGATGGTAAGTGGTTGCTGCGCCCACAGACATCTACATCTATCCTCGATTACAAATCAAAATGCAGATGCGTTGTCATCTATTAGGACTAAGTTCCTCGTTTACAGGAAAAAGGGTCTCCGGTTCTCTACACTCACCATACGAAACACAGCAGCATTACGCTACTATTAGACGCTGGTATTCTGTGAGAGTGTGGTCCTTCCTCGGTCGAGCCGACCCATTCGTGCTAAAACTATACTACTAATATTACTGCAGCATGGCTCTACCACGTATGACGCACTTGGTGGTAAGTGCTTTCATCACCACTTACTATCAGGTGCGATTGTAGTCGAGCACTGCCTTGTAAGTAAAATAATAAGTTGACAATCTTAACCCTAAAAAAATTGAAATAAAAAATGTTGACAATCCTAACCTTCATCACGGCAGGTGGTACGAAGTGTGCCTGGTGGTGGTGTCGCAGCCGTCGCTGGGCATCGAGCTGCACGTGCAGTCGCAGGGCACGGCCGTGCCGGCGGCCGCCGTGGCCGCGCTGAGCGCCGCCACTGCGCCCGACTACCCGCATCGCCAGACCGGCTACGCGCTTACCGTCGGATCTGTCATGGCCGCCAGTTTGCAGGTCCGTGTTTAATTGGATTTATGTTACTTTTTTTTCTACCGACTTCAAAAAGGAGGTTCTCAATTCGACTGTTTTATTTTTGTTTGTGTTACCTCAGAACTTTTTTCTATGTAAACCGATTTTAATGATTCTTTTTTTATTTCAAAGCTGGTGCTTCTCATGTGGTCCCATATAAATTACAAAATCAAGATCTTACTAGTGGTTTTTATGTTATCCATAACAATGCGTATTTAATTGACTTCGACTACATTCATGATGTTCTCATTTTGATTTATTTTGAAGTCGTTAATACAAAATCTTTAATTTTACTATTTGTTTATACTAGGATTTTCACCGTTATCGTAGAAGCAGTTTACAAATACAAATTGCAAAAGAACAAACATCCAGACCGGGATTCGAACCCGGAGCCCTCAACGCTACATCTCATTGCTAAGCTACTGCGCCACGGAGCAGTCTAAAATAAAATTTTTGAGGTTTTCTGATGTCAAACGAACTAACAGTCCACTTGATGGTAAGTCGTTACTGCAATCCGAGGCCTTGAACACCGCTACTGCGCCCGACTGCCCGCACAGCCAGACCGGATACGTGGTTACTCTTGGTTCTATAAAGGCCGTCCGCTTGCAGGTCCGTACCTATTTTACTGTTTCCCGTTCCATTTGTATTGGTTTCGATAGAACTTATAATTTATATTGGTTTATTGATGTCAATTGAAAACAATATTTCTAAGGTGTTTTTGTTTTTGTATAAATCTATGCAGTCGATGGACGTCATCATCATCATCATTACAGCCCTTCACAAGTCCACTGCTGAACATAGGCCTCCCCCAAGTAACGACGCAAAGCACGGTCCTGAGCCACCTGCATTCATCGACTTCCTGCATGTCTTACCAGGTCGTCACTCCATCTAGTGGGGGGTCGCCCTACACTATGCCTACCGGTACGAGGCTGCCACTCGAGAACCTTTCTTCCCCATCGGTTATTCGGGACAGTCGATGGACACCTGCATCCAATTTCGAAAGAGGGAGGTTACAAATGCGTTATCACCTCTGAGGACTGTGATGAACCGCTTCAAAACCTGTACATAGCCTATTATACTGGTTTTGTATAAACATACTGAAAATACTGCTATTTGGCAGGAGAAATAGATAAAACGATGATAGCTACCAATACTGTACGGTATGTAGGACTCGTAGGCAGAATAGGAGTCTTACCACCCAGTGAGGTTTAATTTGGAACCCACTGTTTCAGGAGAATGGGTGTCTGAGTAATAACAGGATGTGAAGCATACCATTTTAGGCGTTAGTGTAGCTTCTTTTAGAATAAGAGTGACATACAAGCACTCAGTCTACCTGATAGCAAAATGGATGCTGTGGCCCATTGTCGCTTACATCTGTTTTGGTTTAATACCTATGTCCAAGCGACAAATAAGTATTTGACGGTGGCAGTATGATTTACTACGTGTGAAGTAAGTGAAACTAATTTTACGGATTCTAAAACTGAAGGTCACACACCCCAGTCCCCCGTGACAATGGGTGTTGTAAAGCACCCGAAACGTCGGAAATTTAAATAGTCATAATTAAAAGTGACCTAATCCGTATATATATATATATATATCATTACAGCCCTTCACAAGTCCACTACTGAACATAGGCCTCCCCCAAGTAATACCGCAAAGCACGGTCCTGAGTCACCTGCATCCATCGACTTCCTGCATATCTTACCAGGTCGTCACTCCATCTAGTGGGGGATCGCCCTACACTACGCCTACCGGTACGAGGCTGCCACTCGAGAACCTTTCTTCCCAAACGGTTATCGGTTCTTCGAGCTATATGGCCGGCCCATTGCCACTTCAGCTTACTAATCCGTTGGGCTATGTCGTTCACTCTGGTTTTACTGCGGATATCCTCATTTTTGAGTCTATTACGCAGAGAAACTCCGAGCATAGCCCTCTCCGTAGCCCGTTGAGCAATCTTGAGCGTCCTCATACGGCCAGCAGTGAAGGAACACGTCTCAGATCCGTAAGTCATCACTGGCAACACGCACTGGTAGTACAATCTAGTTTTCAGAGATTGAGGTATACCTGACGAGAAGATGTGTCGTAATTTCCCGAACGCTGCCCAGCCGAGTTGAATCCGTCGATTGACCTCTCGGTCGAAGTTGGACTTACCTAGTCTGACTATTTGTCCCAGGTAAACGTACTCGTCAACAACTTCGAGCATAGTGCTCCCAACAACTACTGGCATAGGTGTGACATGGACATTAAAAATGACCTTTGTTTTGTCCATGTTCATCTTAAGACCTATCCGTTGGGACGCACTATTGAGGTCATTGAGCATAGTGCTTAGGTCTTCCAGCAATTCTACCATAAGGACTATATCGTCGGCAAATCGAAGGTGAGTGGTGTACTCGCCATTGATGTTAATACCGTAACCTTTCCAGTCCAGTAGCTTGAAAACGTCTTCCAATGCAGCGGTGAAGAGTTTCGGGAATATAACGTCACCCTGTCTTACACCTCTCTGCAGTTGGATAGGTTTCGAGCTCTGGTTCTGTACTCGGATAGCCATCGTAGCCCTACTGTACAAATACTGCAGCACTTCGATATACCGACAGTCAACTTGGCACCGCTGAAGGGACTGTAGCACCGCCCAAATTTCGATTGAATCAAAGGCTTTCTCATAGTCCACATACGCCAGGTAAAGCGGCAGATTGTACTCTTCGGTCTTCTGTACAATCTGCCGCAGGGTATGTATGTGGTCTATGGTACTAAAGCCTTTTCGGAAACCGGCTTGTTCGGGAGGCTGGAAGTCGTCGAGTCTGCGTGCGAGACGATTCGTAATGACTCTCGAAAACAGCACGTAGACGCGGCTCAGAAGGGAAATCGGTCTGTAGTTCTTCAAGAGAGCGTTGTCGCCTTTCTTAAAGAACAAGACCACCGCACTTCTGCTCCACGCCTCCGGAGTAGTGCCACCAGGGAGGACGGAATTGAAGAGCTTCTGAAGGACTTCAAGTACCGGTGTTCCACCCGCTTTCAGAAGCTCCGCTGTAATTCCATCCTCACCTGGGGCCCTGCCGTTTTTGTTTGTTTGGTGATGGAGAGCCATTCTAATCTCGCTTAGACTGACGTCTGGGATATCATCGGAATAGTGTCGGATAAGACTTGCTCTTGGATCGTTACTCACACTTGCGTGTGGCTCCAACGATGATGTGTACAGCTGCCCATAGAACCTCTCAATCTCACTCAAAATCTCAGGTGTCCCGGAAACGATGCTGCCACACTCAATCTTCAGCCTTGACAGTTGGCTCTTTCTGGCAGACAGATCTCTGGCAAAACTTTGGAGCCCTGGTTCCGCTCGATCGCTTCTTTAATGCGAGCAGTATTAAAGATGCGTAAGTCTCGCCGCATGCATTTGGAGATCTGTCTGTTCAGTTGCCTGTATGCTGTTAAATCTGTTGACGATTGCGGCCTCATCTCCCGTCTAACGGCCATGAGATTAAGAGTGTGATCGGAGAGTTATTGTGTTCTTCTGCGGCAGGTCTTGCAGAACTTAGCTCCGACCGCATGGACAGTTTCCACGAGCTTGTCATTCATATTCATTCATATTCATGAAAGACAAGCTCGTGGAAACTGTCCATGCGGTCGGAGCTAAGTTCTGCAAGACCCGCCGCAGAAGAACACAAAAACTCTACGATCACACTCTTAATCTCATGGCTGTTAGACGGGAGATGAGGCTGCAATCGTCAACAGATTTGACAGCATACAGGCAACTGAACAGACAGATCTCCAAATGCATACGGCGAGACTTACGCAACTTTAATACTTCTCGTATTAAAGAAGCGATCGAGCGGAACCAGGGCTCCAAAGTCTTTGCCAGAGATCTGTCTGCCAGAAAGAGCCAACTGTCAAGGCTGAAGACTGAGTGTGGCAACATCGTTTCCGGGACACCTGAGATTTTGAGTGAGATTGAGAGGTTCTATGGGCAGCTGTACACATCATCGTTGGAGCCACACGCAAGTGTGAGTAACGATCCAAGAGCAAGTCTTATCCGACACTATTCCGATGATATCCCGGACGTCAGTCTAAGCGAGATTAGAATGGCTCTCCAGCACCTTAAAAACGGCAGGGCCCCAGGCGAGGATGGAATTACAGCGGAGCTTCTGAAAGCGGGTGGAACACCGGTACTTGAAGTCCTTCAGAAGCTCTTCAATTCCGTCCTCCATGGTGGCATTACTCCAGAGGCGTGGAGCAGAAGTGCGGTGGTCTTGTTCTTTAAGAAAGGCGACAACGCTCTCTTAAAGAACTACAGACCGATTTCCCTTCTGAGCCGCGTCTACGTGCTGTTTTCGAGAGTCATTACGAATCGTCTCGCACGCAGACTTGACGACTTCCAGCCTCCCGAACAAGCCGGTTTCCGAAAAGGTTTCAGTACCATAGACCACATACATACCCTGCGGCAGATTGTACAGAAGACTGAAGAGTACAATCTGCCACTTTGCCTGGCGTATGTGGACTATGAGAAAGCCTTTGATTCCGTCGAAATTTGGGCGGTGCTACAGTCCCTTCAGCGGTGCCAAGTTGACTGTCGGTATATCGAAGTGCTGAAGTGTTTGTACAGTAGGGCTACGATGGCTATCCGAGTACAGAACCAGAGCTCGAAACCTATCCAACTGCAGAGAGGTGTAAGACAGGGTGACGTTATATCCCCGAAACTCTTCACCGCTGCATTGGAAGACGTTTTCAAGCTACTGGACTGGAAAGGATACGGTATTGACATCAATGGCGAGTACATCACTCACCTTCGATTTGCCGACGATATAGTCCTTATGGCAGAATCGCTGGAGGACTTAAGCACTATGCTCAATGACCTCAATAGTGCCTCCCAACGGATAGGTCTTAAGATGAACATGGACAAAACAAAGATCATGTTCAATGTCCATGTCACACCTATGCCGGTAGTTGTTGGGAGCACTATGCTCGAAGTTGTTGACGAATACGTTTACCTGGGACAAATAGTCCGACTAGGTAAGTCCAACTTCGACCGAGAGGTCAATCGACGGATTCAACTCGGCTGGGCAGCGTTCGGGAAATTACGGCATATCTTTTCGTCAGGTATACCTCAATCTCTAAAAACTAGATTGTACAACCAGTGCGTGTTGCCAGTGATGACTTACGGATCTGAGACGTGATCCTTCACTGCTGGCCGTATGAGGACGCTTAAGGTCGCTCAGCGAGCTATGGAGAGGGCTATGCTCGGAGTTTCTCTGCGTGATAGACTCAGAAATGAGGATATCCGCAGTAAAACCAGAGTGACCGACATAGCCCAACGGATTAGTAAGCTGAAGTGGCAATGGGCCGGCCATATAGCTCGAAGAACCGATAACCGATGGGGAAGAAAGGTTCTCGAGTGGCAGCCTCGTACCGGTAGGCGTAGTGTAGGGCGACCCCCCACTAGATGGAGTGACGACCTGGTAAGACATGCAGGAAGTCGATGAATGCAGGTGGCTCAGGACCGTGCTTTGTGGCATTACTTGGGGGAGGCCTATGTTCAGCAGTGGACTTGTGAAGGGCTGTAATGATGATGATGATGATGATGTCATTCATATCGTTCACTGCATTGCAATCTTCTAGGTACTGAAAGCGGTTACGTAACTTGAGCTGAAAGGTTTCGGGATTCTGGATTAGAGCACGAGGGGGACGGAGCATTGACTTCATTAGAAGAGACCTCTCCAACTTAACGTTTAGGTTCAGTGTGCCTCTAACCATTCGGTGATCGCTGCCAGTTTTCACCCTTGTGGTCACTGAGACATCACTGAACAGTTGGCGTCTGGTCGTCATAATGAAGTCAATCTCGTTTTTTGAATATATATATATATATATATATATATATATATATATATATATATATATATATATATATATATAATCTGCCACTTTGCCTGGCGTATGTGGACTATGAGAAAGCCTTTGATTCCGTCGAAATTTGGGCGGTGCTACAGTCCCTTCAGCGGTGCCAAGTTGACTGTCGGTATATCGAAGTGCTGAAGTGTTTGTACAGTAGGGCTACGATGGCTATCCGAGTACAGAACCAGAGCTCGAAACCTATCCAACTGCAGAGAGGTGTAAGACAGGGTGACGTTATATCCCCGAAACTCTTCACCGCTGCATTGGAAGACGTTTTCAAGCTACTGGACTGGAAAGGATACGGTATTGACATCAATGGCGAGTACATCACTCACCTTCGATTTGCCGACGATATAGTCCTTATGGCAGAATCGCTGGAGGACTTAAGCACTATGCTCAATGACCTCAATAGTGCCTCCCAACGGATAGGTCTTAAGATGAACATGGACAAAACAAAGATCATGTTCAATGTCCATGTCACACCTATGCCGGTAGTTGTTGGGAGCACTATGCTCGAAGTTGTTGACGAATACGTTTACCTGGGACAAATAGTCCGACTAGGTAAGTCCAACTTCGACCGAGAGGTTGATATGATATATATATATATATATATATAATGCCTTACGTACAAACTGTCTCCCTCTGTTGCAGGGTTTCGCAGAGACGTTACGTTTAGTGTTTCTTTTGAACATTATACATGTATTATTCTAAAATTTCGTGGCAGGTCAGAGTCAAAGTGCTCGCTCTAATTTTTTGTACGTGGTAGAGCCATGCTGCAGGGAAGGACAACGCTCTCAAAGAATACCAGCGTAAAATAGCAGCTCAATACTGCTGTGTTTCGTATAATGATTGTAGAGAAACGAAGACTCTTTTTACTGGAAATGAGGCATTCCATCTCAGTCCTCACGGGTGACAACGCATCTGCATTTTGATTCTTAATTGAAGATAAATGTAGATTTATATTTATTTACATTACTGTAACCACCTGATGGTAAGTGGATCCTATGGGCCATAGCATCCACTTACCATCAGGTGGACTGTGTGCTCGTTTGTCACACTTATTCTATAAAAAAATTACAGAGTTTTATTAGAAATTAGTAATTGCAGCTAAACCAAAGAATATAGTATATTATTACTACGTAGCTAAACTGTTGATTTCAAAAAGACAAGTTGGGGAGACTGTTGGCGCTTAGGATTCGATACGCATCTGTAAAAATCCGGCCAAGTGCGTGTCGGGCAACTCACGATGTATTGTAGAGGTAGGAGGGTCCAGTAGTTGCCCGTCACTATACGTGGGCTTTCTTGATAATGAGCGTATTTAGTTCGCGTTATGGCCGCTATAATGAACTAGTAGAGAAACGAAGACCCTTTTTACGGGAAATGAGGCATTTCATCTTAGTCTTTAAACTATAGACCTTGACCGTGTTGCTAAACTGTAATTTTTAAATATATTATAGCAGTTAGAAAATTTACGTCTAAAAATGTCAGAGTATTAATTGTTGGTTTCATGATACCAGGTATCACATACACAATGGCAAGAAGCGTCAACGGGTGTGAGTAGAAGAGAAATTCTATCACTGGCAGCGCGTTCGTTGGCCGGCTCATACAAAAACTTACTCGCCGTATCCGCTGCAGAAACTTAAAGACTGATGGTAATACGGATCTAATATATTGCGTAAGTTTCCTTTATTAATTATTTTAGATAGGGCTAGTTCTTAGTCTCATGAGCCGTGGTAGCTCAGATGAGATGAACGCTCGCTGTAAATATAACAGAACGCGAATAACCCGGGTTCGATCCCCGCCGGCACCGATGAAATTGTTAATTGCAATTTTAAGTGCTGATTTACCACGTGCTCGGCGGTGAAGGAAAACACCGTGAGGAAACCTGCATGTCTGAGGAATAAGAAAAAAAATATTTTTTTTTAGGTGAACCGATTTTGATGATTAATTTTTATTTGAAAGCTGGCGCTTCTCTAGCGGTCCCATATAAATTAACAAGATTTGACCAATAGTTTTTGAGTTATCCTTAATAATGAGTATTTATTTGACTTCGACTAAATTGATGACGTTTTCATTTTATTTATATTGAAGTTGGTTGTACAAAATTTTGAATTTTACCACTTGTGTCTCGTTAGATTATCTCACGATGTAACAAGATGGCTCGCTCCTCAGACAGCTACTCAGACGACATGAAGCCATAAAATATGGGTTTAGATGGAACATTGTAAAAGAAGTTATAGGTGGTTAGCCTATCGCCTTCACAACAACAAACTCAATGTACCGTTAGTCGTCTTTTACGACATGCTGGGCAAGGAACACAGTTGGCACATATTTTTTGCTTATGATCATAGAACCTATAAGTCCTAGACAAACATAGGACAAACCTATAAAATCAATGCGTGATATTTGTATAACTTTAAAGTATAAAAAATGTATGAAATTCTCTTTTGCAATTATTTTTTTTGTTTCAGGCAACAATACTAACCGCTACTTATTAAATAAGTTTATTGTAATATATTAATATTATATTATAGTTTTAATTAGATGAAATAAAAGATTATGATAATATTATATAGATTTAATTAAGAGATGAATGATGAAGATGTTAATAAAGAAATCGTATTTCGGGTCCATAGAAGTGTTTTATTCCAAATATTTTGTTACCTATCCATTAAATTATTTTTATACATAAAACAGTACAAAAGAGTATACAGTCCATCTATTCTTACGTCTATATTTGCTTAGAAATCAAAATGCAGATGCGAACATAAGTAAAAAAGAACTTCCGGTTCTTGTTGACCAGATTAAGAAAAACGGTGGCATTATGGTGTTTACCAGACTGCGAGGCGCAAAGTATAGAACAACTCGCGGCACGCAAGTCTAGCGGTGACCGTTATTGCACATAATTGCCAGTATTGCGCATTATTACGTATGTTTCGCTGTGCGTATCGTTCGCACGCGCTGAATGGCTATCCCCTCCACGTTTCGTTCAGCGCTAGAGTTACGTGCCGCGATTTATAATGTGTTTATCAGCTTATATACTGGATCACCTTTTTAACCGTCTGGAGAAAATATGGTGTAACATGTGAATGGAGCAGAAGCCCATGGCACTGATATTTTCTACTCCGTTCATATGTTACATCCTATTTTTTTTAAAAAGGTAATTCAGTATATGTATGTTTGTTCTTTTGTGGTTATGAGAAATTTCTTGTTGAAATTGGCGAGGTAAAGTGCCGTGTCGTCGACAACTAAGTCCTTCGGGATGTCACTCGCATAGAGTGTGAAAAGGTGTAGGGTGAAGACGGTGCCTTGAGGGACTCCAGTCCTGAGGGGTCGTTTGGAGATTTGGGTTCCCTCTATTTGATAGCGGAAATGGCGGTTGGCAAGGAAGGCTCTGATGATGTGAGTAAGCCACGTTAAGTTTATACAGCTTGTAAAGTAAGCCATCGTGTCAGTCTTTGTCAAACATTTTTGCGACATCGAAGAAGAGGGCACCGGTGTTAAGGATTCGATGGTTACCAGTTGAGTGGGAGAAGCCCTCCAGAATGTATTCTGTAAGGCGATGAATGTGATTGTTACATGAGTGATCGGTTCTGAAACCGAACTGCTAGTCGGGAAGAAGCTTGTTGGTAAAGACGTGTTTACGGTGGCGATTCAATATTATTCGCTCATAAACGTTCTCCAATATGCTGAGGAGACTAATGGATCTATAGCTAGAGGCTAAGTTGCACGGTTTCCCTGGTTTCGGGATTCCTATGACATCCGCTTCTTTCCAAGCGCCCGGGAAGGAGCAGCTGGAGAGAAAAGCGTTGAAAATGCTAATGCTAATAGGAGGCAGACAAGTGGCGCTGGGAAGGGTTTCAGCACTCTGTTGCTAATACCGTCGGGGCTAAGGGTGGGCGTTGAATGAACAAACAGTTTTTTTTTGTTAGACCGACTGTTAGACCGGTTTATAGTCTACTGATAAACTAGTTTACCCGTGAACGACATTTTACATCGCGCACATACACTGTTGAGTGTTTGCCGAAAGCCGAAACTGTTTCGCTGGCCACTCGTCGATCAAGCATTACGTGCTCTTCACACCTGCTTGTTTCGACGACTATATCTCTTTCTCCACGTGCTCGACTCTCGAACCATTGAGTGGGAGGTGTTTTGTAAAAATAAGTTCTATTTCAATGGAAATACATATGAAACATGCATGTCAATATAAGGCGTAGGCAGGTTTTTGAATTTCGTTTACGTTAGTTTTTAGTCTCCAACTCAACTAAAGTGTAAATAATTATTCAAAGTAGGTTTAATTTCTAGTGTTAATAATAACAGTGTGAACAGTAATAGTGTTTAGTGTTAGGTATTTAAGTGGTTAAAAGTCATCTGTGAAGAGAACATCCTTCGTCGTTTACCACTTAGCGAATCAACGTAGAACGACAAGTAGTTTATATTGACGTAAACTATTCTGTATGTATCATGTTCTGTTGACAGCATAAACTAGTCGCCTGTTTTATACACTAGTTTATCGTTGACGATAAACAGTCTCGTTTCGTCGACTGTAAATACGTCGACGACCCATTCCTAGTCGGGGCCAAGTGCTGATTTCTTTTAAAACTTTTATATATATATATATATATATATATATATATATAGTTTTATATGTAGATAGTTTCTGTGACTTCGTCAACATTCACAGGATCTACGGGGGTTGCTCAATAATTTTTCTAGAGTTATTCTATATGTATATACCGCAATACTCCAAAACTTTGATAGCATGATTTAGACTTCGGTATAAATAATATATGTCAGCAGTAACGCCGTATTGTGAATACAATGTGTAAATTAGTGGGAAAAATAGTGCTTTTAGTGACTTTAAGATGGTGCTATTATTAACATAATCATAATCATAGTTACTGAGTACTTTCATATCCCTGATTTATACTAAGATGTATAAATCAAGGGATATGAAAGTACTCAGTAGTAGATGTAAGAAACTGAATAGTGAATACTGCGCACTATTTTTTTGAGAGAGACCATAGATAACGCGTCAACCTTATGCAAGGCGTAGACAGAGAAACCTATAGACAAATTGATGCCTTCTTTCGCATTCGCACACGAAAAAGATAGATTTATGCATACGCCTTGCACAGAAATGAGACAGATCGGTGTGATTGTTTGTCCCTTTCTCCGTGCCGGTTTTTTTGTTTAGCAAACTACACTTTGCTAAACAACTTTGACAATTCGTAGCGATCTAATGAGTTTACAATTTGGTTTAAGTGAGAAATAAAGTGTTTTGTGAGACGATTGGTGAATCTTGTCCAGTTCTTAGAACAATTAATTTTTTTATCTAAATATGTTTAAAAGTCATAAAGATTATTGTATAACCTAAAACTACGTTATCGTCCTTTCTCACTCGAGGCCACGCTAATCATTAGTCTATAGGTTTCTCTGTCTACGCTGCAAGGCCTTCTGTTGCCAGGTTAATAATTAAATATTACTACGTTGGATCACATTAGATATACACAACAAAACTTAAAACTTGGAAAAAGGCTTGTGCAACCACTGTTGGCCATATTTAAGATCATTATAATATACTGAATTTTAATTTAAAAAATTACTCGTTCTAATAAAGAAAGAACCATTCGCTTACCTTAATATTCTAATATCTAAAAGAAATTGGAATTAATACTTTATCCAAGATCGTTACGAAAAACCAATAACATGATTTCCAATATCACCATTCCAAAATTAAATGACCTTCTTAATCATAGTTTAGATTACAGCAGTCAAGAAGAGATTCCATAACCGATAATATATTGCTGACAGTTTGATAATGGGATATTTTCAGTATATGATTTTATCTTTATCTCCCATATGCAAAGATTTGTTTCAGAAAAACGGTCATAATATGGTGACGATTGTGTTTTATTATCTACGGTTGATACGGTTGTTTTATGTATTTAAACTAAGTGAAGGGCATGTAAAAAGGGCGGAGTGTTCAACATGCATGATAAACACAAGCTCTTGTGTATCACAGTGTTACTCCGCGGCCTCCATCCCCCAGCCGCCGATCTGAGATATGGTTAGTGTCTCTCCTCGCGCCCCACCACCACGGAATTAACGGTGCGGCGCCCTCAGATTCGCGGCAGATATGGTAAGTGGCACATCGTCATACCAACACTCCTCTTCTACCGCGACTACCTTTTGGATGTGGCGGTAGGGGGAGAGGACACCCTTCTTATCGCCACCTTAGTCCGGCCACGTGTGTTCCTCTTAGATTACCTCAGGTACCAAGCCATGGCTACTAAGCTCCCCCGCTCACGACAAGGTGGAAACCCGTTCGAGTAGGGGGTCAACTAAGGTCTTGGGTTCACGATCGCTCTAAATAGAGTCAGCTGCAGCTATATTATGGTAGTAGCACGAATGGGTCACCTCGACTGGGGTAGGGCCTCGCTCTTACAGAATACCAGCGTAAAGTAGCAGCATCGCACACAGTTAATACTGCTATGTTTCGTATGGTGAGTGTAGAGGACTAGAAACCCTTTTTACTGGAATCAAGGTTCCAAGATTCCATCTTAATCCTCAGTGTGACAACGCTTCTGTATTTTGACTCTCAATTGAGGATAATTGTATATGTCTTGGGCCACAGCATCTA